TTGATCACACTTGTTACTTCTCTCACAAGAAGGATAGGACTCATCAAAGATTACATGTACACTCTCCTCTACACACTGAGTTCTCTTATTGTAGACCTTGTAGGCTTTACTTTGAGAGGAATATCCCAAGAAGATTCATTCACCACTTTTGGCATAGAATTTTCCAAGCTGATCATTTCCATTGTTGAGAACATAGCATTTGTACCCAAATGTTCTTAAGTGAGTCAGCTTGGGCTTCCTTCCATTCAGCAACTCATAAGGATATTTGTTCAAGAGAGACCTGATCATGCACCTGTTCACCAAGTAGCATGCAGTGTTAACAGCTCAGCCCAGAAGTTCTTCGTTATCCCACTATCGATCAGCATTGTCTTTGCCATTTCTTCAAGAGTTCTATTCTTCCTTTCCACAACTCCATTTTGCTGTGAAGTTCTGGGGGCGGAGAAGTTATGGGTAATGCCATTCTCGTTGCAAAAATAATCAAACTTGGCATTGTCAAATTCTGTCCCATGATCTGATCTTATGCAGGCTACTTTTGAATCCATCTTCACTTGAATTTTCTTCACAAATGCTACAAAAACTTCAAAGGTTTCATCTTTTGTTCTGAGGAACAAGGTCCAAGTGAATATGGAATAGTCATCCACTATCACAAAAATGTATCTTTTTCCTCCTCTGCTTTGCACTCTCATAGGCCCACATAGATCCATGTGAAGGAGATCAAGTGGTTTTGAGGTGCTGACATCCTTCTTTGGCTTAAATGAAGATTTCACATGCTTCCCTCTTGCGCAAGCATCACAAACTTTGTGCTCCATGAACTTTGATTAGGGCAGACCACGAACCAGGTCCTTCTGAACTAGCTTATTCAGTAGAGAAAAGCTTGCATGTCCTAGTCTTCTGTGCCACAGTTCAGCATCATCATCAACAGCTTTCAAGCAACTCAGATCACCACTTTGTAAGGATTCAAAATCAGCAACGTAGATGTTCTTGTATCTTTTGGCCACCAGTACCACTTCACCCGTTACTAGATTAGTAACTGTGCATATTTTTGACAAGAATTCCGCCTTGTTTCCTTTATCACATATTTGAGAAACACTCAAGAGACTGTACTTGAGGCCATTGACGTAGTACACATTCTCAATTAAGTGAGTGAGTGATTTCCCGATTTTCAACTCCAAGAATATACCCCTTTTTCCCATTGCCAAAGGATACGCTCCCTCCTTGCAGGGCTTAGTGAAAGAAAGTCCATGGTATTCCCAGTCATGTGCTTTGAGCATCCACTATCCATGAACCACTGTTGACTGCTTCCTTTCACTGTTCCTTGCACGAGGAAATCAAGAGTTAGTTTTAGGAACCCAAGCAAGTTTGGGTCCCTTGTAGTAGGCAAGAGGGTAAATAAGAGCTCTTTTAGTCCATGCAGGTAACATGCGTTTTATATGGGTGGCACCTTGTCCCTTTTCAGTAGTTACTTTTTCAGCAAACACTTTGTTTTTCTGAAGAGACTGGACCCTAGCTTGGAAATTTTCTTTGAAATGCCCATTGTTCCCACAGTGGGTACACAACCAATTATCCGGTACAGTAACATACTTATTATGGGGGTTGTAAGGAGTTCTCTCCCTTTGAAACCCTATTCCCTGCATGTTTCCACTATTATTAACATACATGGCAGTAATAGCTTCCGAGGACCAGGTCCACTTAAGGGACTTCTCAAGATCATTTTTTACTCATTCCAGTTCTGCTTAGAGCTGCCTATTTTTCTCAAGTTCAGCACACAAACTAGTTCTCACAGCATTTAACTCGTTTTCAAGCTTAATGTGTGCCTCACTAGCTACCTCTTTCCCTTTATCACAATTTCCAGGCCTACACTCAGCTCCAAGTTCCTCTATAGTTTCCCTCAAGTCTATAATCACTATTAAGAGGTCATCTCTTTCCTCCTCAACAACAGTCACTTTCTCCACTAAGGCATCCTTTTCTTTACTTAAGTTCTCAATGGTTTCTTTTAAGTCAACTACTACTACCACCAGATCATCTCTTTCGTGTTCTACACTAGTGATTTTCTCAGTTAGAACCTTCTTCTCATTTTCCAGGTCATCTATAGTTTCCTTCAAATCAACCACACAAACTATCAAGTCATCTCTGGTTTGCTCAGCTTCTCGTAATTCTATGGTCAAGGCATCCTTATCATCTACAAGACTATGATATGCATCGATTAATACGTTGGCAAATGACATGAGTTTCTTAGGAGAGTAGGATTTTAGATTTCTCTGTACATCCCTGAAGTTTACCTTATCATTGTCATCATCTTCATCACCGTCTGATTGAGCCATTAAAGCAAATATTGAATCATATCATTTCCTTCACTTTCAACTGCCATCATGGAACTATCACTTGTATCAGTTTCTTCTTCAGACTCACTTGAGGAATCTCCCCATGCTGCAAGAGCTTGCTTCACAATGTTGTAAGCGGCATTCTTCCTTTTGAAGCGTTTGTCAGGAACCGGGTTCCTTTTGGTTGCTTTATCAGGGTTGTACTTGAAGTGTTCTTGCTTCAAGAGAGGACAATCTTTGATAAAGTGCCCTGGCTTTCCACATTTATGACAAAGGTCATAATTCTTTGGTCTGCTGGAATTGCCTCTCTTTGGTATCCCTCCATTCCTTCTGACCATTTTTTGAAATCTTTTGGTTAGGTAGGCCATGTCACAGTCCTCCTCACTTGAGTCATTGCCTTCAGCTTTGAGTACCAGGTTCTTTTCCTTCTTTGGTTCTCTTCTTTCACTGTCCTTCTTCTTCTTCATTTCGTAAGTTTTAAGATTCCAACTAGCTCATCTATGGTTAGGGTCTGCAGATCCTTTGCCTCAGTAATGGCATTTACTTTACTCTCCCACGAACTAGGCAGAACACTGAGAATTTTTCTCACAAGCTTGTTCCTAGTAATGATTTCATCGAGCGAGTGTAGCTCATTTATGATGGAAGTGAATCTTGTGTGCATATCTTGAATAGATTCATCGTCTTTCATCCTGAAGAGCTCATACTCAGTGGTGAGCATATCAATCTTAGATTGCTTTACTTGAGTGGTTCCCTTATGTGCTGTTTGCAAAGCTTCCCATATTTCCTTGGCGGATTGACAAGCTGAGATCCTGTTGTATTCATCAGGTCCTATACCACACATCAAAATTTTCTTGGCAAGAAAATTTTTCTCCACAGCTTTCCCATCTGCATCATTGTATTCCTTTTTGGTCTTTGGCATCGTCACTGGAGGATCTCCGACCTTCTTCTTTGGGAGATAAGGACCATCACATATAACATCCCACAACTCAAAGTCTTCTGCCATGATAAAATCATGCATTCTTGTCTTCCACCACCCATAGTATTGCCCATTGAACCTGGGTGGTCTATACGTAGACTGACCTTCTTCAAAATTTGGTGGAGCACCATAAGGATCCTTCCTAGGTGTTAACTTGATAGAAAGAACCCGCTCTGTTACCAATTGATAGGATATATGAGTCCACCAAACTATATAGAGATCAGGTCCTCTATGAGTTTCTACTGAGAATACTAATGAAACAGTAAGTAAATAAGACAGGAAGTTACTTACGTGGAAAAATCCCTGCTCAAGGGAATAAAAAACCACGACCTACACTGGTAGGATTTCAACTTCACTATGAGCAACTTTAGATTACAACCTATGCAATCTAGGAATTAAACTCTTAATCCCTCACTAACTTGTAATACACCTATTACAAGCCACTTTGCAATACACCTATTACAAAGACTTCAACTCATGACTAACTCTAGTTACGACACAAACACTAAGGGTTTATGGTTTTACAAGGGGTTCCTAAACACGCTTCTAGATAAGCAAAGTAGAAATTACAATGAAGAGCAATTACAAAGTTACAACTCAACTAATGATAACAAAATACTAGCTTTAGGAACTGGTCCGTAGTAGGGTTGTTCTTTGTTCTTGATGCACTTGAGAATTGAATGCTTGATCAGTGAACGGTTGGAGTGCTTGAATACTCAAGTTGATTCTCAAGTGTTCAAATGATGTTTTGTTGTAATGTTTTATGTTAATACAACATAGATGACATCACTTGAATGATGTAATCACTTGGTAGGTCAAAAGAAAAGTGACCGCAGAACTGTGCTACATTGTTCTGTGTACAGTGCATGCAGTCACTTTCCAGCTGTAGACAGTTGACTTCGTATTGCTGTCAGGGAAACACAAGGGTATCAGGTCCCTGTTCGGATTCTCTATCTTCTCAAATTGTAGCAGTTCTCATTAGTTGGAATCTGTTGATTTGAGTTGTGTACCAAGTGAGTCAGGTTCCTTATCTGGTTCTTTGATAGTAAGTTTGTTAGATCATCAAAACATAAAGCGAAGGCATTGTAAACCTATAAAAAAATAAAAAAAAAAAATAAAAAGGACAAAGAAGCCTTCTTTTCCCGAAACAAATTTCTTAATGTGAATTCTTGTATGTCGGACCAAGATATTGTTCAATGTTCATAATATGTTAAATCTGAACATGAGTATATCAACGAATCTGGAAATGTTATACGTTATTTATGATTATTATATTCACATAAAAGAAACCTAAAATATTGTTAAAACCGAAATACATCCATTTTAATTAGTCCTTCCGTAAGTGATGAAACTTTCCACTCAACCGCTGGTTGTTGCTAGTCTTCACGTGCCAACCACCAATACAAAAAAATGCGGTTAAGTAAAGTCATCAAAATTTGGTACACTCATATTACCATCAAGTACAAACTGTATAAGCACTTCCTACGAGTATAATTGAAAAACAAGCAGTCAAATTTAGTAGCATTATCTGCGGTCCATCTACAAGATACAAGAAGTAAATAACATGACCTATACAAGAACCTAGTTATCACATGACAACCCCCACTACAATTTTTGTTATACCTTTATTTTATCTTTTCTTCCCATGCAAATGACTAGTCTATTTAAGGAGAAATTATAGCTAGTCAATAATCGATAAAGAAAAAGAGAATTGCACTTTTCAACCTAAGGTGTTAAATTTCACAAAAAGAAAAAAATATGGTAGTGAAGGTGTATGGTTCAGCAATGGCTGCGTGCCCACAGAGAGTCATGGCTTGCCTCATAGAGCTGGGAGTTGATTTTGAGCTTATCCATGTCGATCTTGATTCTCTCGAGCAGAAAAAACCTGAATTTCTGACTTTACAGGTATACTTTTATTTCTTCTTGTTTTTTTAGTCACCAGTAATACTATGTGATAAACTAAAAAAATTAATAAGTTTAAAGAAAAAAGAAGAACAAGGTATTAGACAATTAAATTAATTGTTCTACTAATTTTCTGCATTTGATGGGAAAAAAATATTTCTGCATTTGAGCTATTACTATTATATATAAACTACTTGCTTAATGTCTTCGTCATTTTCTAGCAGCCATTTGGACAGGTTCCAGTCATTGAAGATGGTGATTTCAGGCTTTTCGGTAACAACCTATTAGCTTTGCATGACTTACGTTGTAAAAGAGTTGCTTGCATAAAATATTTTCTCGTCTATACATAATACATTATACATATATATATACACACATTTAAGCCAAGTTCAAACACACTACCACAAGGAAATAGTAGGCGTAAAGGTGCTCTGCATCGAACAAAACCTAAGCGGAAAAAGGTCAAATTTTGTCCCATCGTATTCTTCTTATATATTGAGCAACTTTATTGTTCGTTAGACTTTCGGTCTAATATTTCTCCTGCAATTAGGAAAAATATTAGTTTTTAGTTTTTTTTTTTGACTCATACCGAGCTTCAACTTGAGCATAATTTTAAACTATAGTAAAAAGTTGAGAGGTAAATTTAGACTTTTTTCTCGAAGAATTTGGATACATGGAGTCCGCCTTCACAACAGAACTCCGGTTAGTGATAAAAGAAAAGACGAGATGATTTGCCAAGTCCAATGTTATTAATGGACCAAAAAATTAACGGAAAACAAAATTGAGCAATTTCAGATAATCAGGAGCAAATTTGTCCCATTCCCAAACTTAAATCCACCTTTTCAGAATCATAATATACACCACTACATGCAATATAGAAATTATACAGTAATTAAACAAGATATTAACGGCTATTTAACTTCTCAAAAAATTCTATATTTTTCAGAATCGAGAGCAATAATAAGATATTATGCAGCAAAGTATGAAGAGAAGGGAACCAAACTAACAGGAAAAGCATTGGAAGAGAAAGCTGTAGTAGATCAATGGCTAGAAGTGGAATCCAACAACTTCAATGACTTGGTATACAACATGGTACTCCAACTCCTCGTGTTTCCTAAGATGGGACAGAACAGTGACTTGACACTGGTACACAAATGTGCCGACAAGCTAGAGAAAGTCTTCGACATCTATGAACAAAGGTTGTCCAAGACTAAATACCTAGCAGGAGATTTCTTCTCACTAGCTGATCTCAGCCACCTTCCTAGCCTTAGGTTTCTGATGAATGAAGGTGGTTTTGCACATTTGGTTACGGAGAGAAAGTGTATGCATGGTTGGTATTTGGATATTTCAAGCAGACCTGCTTGGAACAAAGTGTTGGAGCTGATGATGAAGAAGAAATCAGAGATGTCGGAACCCCCAGTTAAAGAAGTAAAACTTTAGGAAAACTAACAACTCTTATAAGCTTTCATCTAGATTTCATTTCAAGCGGCCGGCTCTAATAAGTTTGGGATTGAAGCACAATTATTTTTGTTGTATGTTTCAACAAGAATATAGTCAAAAATAAAATTGGATTTGATATATCTATTGTGATGTAAAGGGAGACAAATTTTAATTTTAATTATGAGTTTAAGTTATGTAGACATTGACAGGTGATATGTTATACCATCACTTAAGTTGCATACCTGCAATAATCAGTAACTCTAAATAACAAATAATATTCATGAATACAGCAGTACAAGCGCCTAAAATCAGGGCAGTCCAGCTGTACGCGCATGTATTCGCGCTGTTGTATTCATGAATACAGCAGTAAAAAGCGCCTAAAATCAGAGCAATCCAGCTGTATGCGCATATATTCACATGTATTCGCGTCATGTATTCATGAATACAGTAAAGGTAATCACCTTAAGAATATGTATGCCCAGCTGTCTAAGAGAGATGAAAAACATAAATAGCATATTTCATGCCTCATGGTAGTATATACCATAAATACTTATTTTGCTAAAAAATATGAAAGGTAGCTATAGAAAATAATATTTTCAAATAATTTTGATTTATAATAAATAGGGTGCATACCTTGCTATAGGGGTAAAATTTCCTTTTTATTTTTCGTATATAACTTGTTATACCATATTTTTCTCGTAGTTTGGTTCCCATTTGTTGGTCAAAATAGCACGGTATAGCCAGTTTTCGGACTGGTCATTCAAAAATAGCCAGCGTTTACCAAGTCAATGAAAAATAGCCACTATTTTGCTGCAACAGAGACCGGTCCAGCATAATATACTGGAGTTCGGTGCACCTGTGTATGAACTCCAGCATATTATGCTGCACCGGTATACTTTGCTGGCTCCAGTATAATATACTGGAGACTGGAGCACCGGTGCTCCAAATTCCAATATATTATGCTGGACCGGTATACTTGCTGGAACTCTAGTATATTATGCTGGAACTCCATCATATTATGTTGGAGTTCCAGCATACTTATCCTGGAACTCCAGTATAATATGCTGGAGTTCAAGTATACTTATGCTGGAACTCCAGCATAATATACTGGCGTATTTTTCCGGGTTTTGAACAGTGTTTTCGCTCAGATTTATCTTTACATGAAAAGTGGCTAAATTTCGATTACTTTTGAAACTGGACTATTTTTGAACGACCAGTTGTAAATCTGGCTATTTTTTAATTTCACCCCATTTATTGTTGTCAACTATGGGCTTTTTACTTTTTCCAAAAAGTCCAACAGATCCATTTGATAAGGGACAATATGGGCCTTAAAGAGAGCCCATTTAAGTTTATGGGCTTTCTTTCATTTGACATACTCATGACCCAGATAGGTATCATCAACTCACGTTTATCACTTGGAAAAAAAAAAATTGTAAGGAGGGAGCTCACAAGTCACAACTATATAAGTAGATCCACCAAACCAGCAGGAAATTTAAAAGAAATTTTAGTTTCGATAACAAACAATTAGACAGTATTTCAGGGACATATGAAATCCTCATCCCAGGAGAATCTCGGTACACATCCGCTGCTCAGAACTCAAAGATTACTCCATAATATAAGACCTTTGACTTATGTGTGTCACACATCAGATCTTTTTGATTGAATTATCTCGGCTTCTTCTCCTTTTTTATTCTTTTGTTTTAGAAGTCATATTTTTTCTTTCTTCATAAACTGGGAGTAGCATTCCATTTCCAACTGAACTGTACTAGAAAATATCAAAAACTGTATTTTGGGTTTTAATTAGGAAATGAATAAGTGGAGAAATAGCAAAACTCTCATGGTTACAATTAAATCCAAAAGAAAGGGTATATTCAAACATCTGCAGGTCTCTATACAAGTCTTTCTTTTAAGCATTTCTGATGTTTTATACTTCAATACCACACAAGAGGAGGTTATTTGTGTGGTACTCAATTTTCGCTTAATTAAACTATAGAAAGACCTGGTTCTTCTATGCGTTCCAACTACTACTGTTTGCATAATAATGAGTACAGAAAATAAAGAACACAGAGATTTTTACGTGGAAAACACCTGGCTCAAAAGGTGAAAAAACCACGACCTACTACTCAGTAGGATTTTCCCAAACTTCCACTAAAATCACTGAGCCAAAACAACATTTACAAAACTCTTTGTAAACCTAAGGATTAACTCTAATCCCGTTGTGGCACACAGCCTCAACTGTTACGACAACTTCAATTTAACACTAACTTGAAACTCTAAGTACCTAATACAATTGCTTCTATGAAAGCTGAAAGGTACAATGTAAAATCACCTACTACAATTGAACTAGAATAAAAGATAGACACATGGAACTGGTTCTTCTATCTCGTTCAAGTAGCTTCAGGATTGCACACTCGAATCACACATCAATTGCTTGCAAAATCGCCTTGCTCTTTTGCTCTCAATTTAAGTTTAACTTCTGCCTATGTGTGTTACCTGTAAAAGAGAACAACACTGATATTTAATGGGTTAGTAATCAGAGTTTGACTGGAATTCAATTACTATTCTTCTATCGTGGAAGAGTTCATAGTGATCTCAAACTCTAACACTATCTTCTTCCTAAACTGTGTTCTCTTCATGTAAGGATCTTTCTCTCCTTATCCAATATGCAACCTTTTCTATCAGATCAGGAGATATTGCTTCTTGATCAGTTAGATTTATCTCCTTCACGTGCATCTCACATGTATAGGTTGATCATGACTATGCTTCACAAGATGGACCTGGTCCATGACTGAGTTCTTTTGTCAATCTTCAAAACTTCACCTGTTCTTGGGCTAACAAATTCCCCCTTTTTGATGATGACAAACTCTGTGCTTTTTACTTACTTGGATCCTGTAAGAACTCAGCTTAACCATCAATACAAAGTTTAGAAAATTCACTTATCATCAATGACCGGGTTAATTAGGTTATAAACATCACTTATTCAAAATGTGTAAAGCACAATATCTCTTCCCCCTTTTGGCATCATCGAAAAGTTGCATACAAAGTATGAGTCCCTGATTTTAATAAGTACTCATGGCCAGTAGGGCAACTGCAAGTGCAATCATGGATTAATCATCAGTAATCAAGCAAACATATTTAAACTGTCAAGGAAAGATTAACATAGAACAAGAGCAAAAACAGTAGATATCATTGATAGAGAATATGTTGCTACCACAATCCACAACCAGAAAGCAAAAAACATTTAAAACCTGAGCAAAAAGATAGAAAAATCCCTAATCTTGGTCACTGAAGGTACTAAACAGGTTCAGGAGACAAAAGCTAGAATTCCTAAGGCTTGGGGGAGCTAGAGGGTTGGTTTTCGGCTTGGAGAAGATTCAGCATATTATGAAGAATCCCATCATTCTTCTCTTTTTCCTTGGTAAGCTCAGTTCTAAGAGCATCCCTCTCAGATTCCAACTCTGTCACACGAGCCTTGAGCCTAGCTATCTCAGCGTCCTTGGCTTCACATTCCTGAACAAGAGCCCTGACTTTCCTGTTGATAGGAGTCTTCTTGGATGAACCAGGTTCATTTGGGATGGCACTCACTAAGTAGTCATAAGCAATCAGAGTGTTAATGCCAAAGTGATCCTTGCTTGAGGATATTTCCCATTTCTTCAGAGACACATTGTACCTATCCAGAATCGTAGTCAGAATAAAGCTATAGGGAGTAGCATGAGCCTTGGAGCCATTGATGACCCTGTCCAGTAGCTTGATGATGAGTGCAGGCCAATTAATTTGCATTCCTCTTTCCAGGCACTCCGTCAGCGCTAAGTCCATATAATTTGCAATATGCCTTCTCTCCTGCCTGGGCAGTAGGCACTTGTTGACAAACTCAAAGATGACTTTGTGTTGTGGCCTCATTTCACTCTTCTGCATAGCCCTAGCCTCATTTACATCTTCAGCATCACAGAACCTCCTGATTATGTCAAGGGCAGTAGGAAGGGAGTCCAGACAAGGCCACATTTGCCTTGTATAGTCATCAAACCCTTCAGAGGGTATGCCAAGAATCTCTCCCAGTTTTTCTGCATCAAAGGTCACTTGAACTCCTTTCACCAGGCTGCTAACCTTGCCATCCTTAACCTCTGCATTTGCCATGAACTCAATGATTTCATTCCTGGCTAGTCTTCCATCCATCTGAAGGACCATGTCCTTCCACCCCTGAGCAGCCAAGGCATCTACCAGTCTTATCATTCCTGGTTCCACCAGGTCTTTCAGCAATCTACCCTTCAAAATTTTCTTTTGCCAAACATGGCAAGCCTGTCTTGATCACCATCAGGCTCATCTTCTTGTTCTTCTCCACTCCATTCCTCATCTTCAGAGATTCTTACTTGTTTACTTTTCACTGCAGACCTTGTCCTGTGAGCTAATGAAGGTTCAGCAACTGCAGACACAGAAGAAGACTTCTTGGAAGAAGTCTTTGGCTTTTTGGGCTTGGGGGTCTGAACCTCCTCTGTTATAACCTTTTCTTGATGGACCTGTTCCATCTCCTCAAATTCAATAGCCTCTGAGGACTCTGCAACCTTACCTTTTCCTTTATCCATTCTTTTCTTCTTACTTTCAGCTAAGGCCTTTTGTAGATCAGCCTCACTCTGTTTTACCCTGCTTCTTGTGGCTCTTCCCTTTGGAAAGGAAGTGTCAGTAGGTGTTGGGGATGAAGCCTTTCTTTTCTTAGAGGGTTTAGGAGCACTGGGGACTTTTGATGTGTTGGTTCTTCTTTTCTTTGGGTCATAACTCGCCCCAACCTTTTTCAAAAGGTCTGCTAGGGTCTCTTCAACTGATGAACCAGGTTCATCTCTCTGTGAACTTAAGTTAACCAACCCTTCAACAGCTTCACCAAAACCACTTCCCCCTGACTTCTTGCCACTCTCTTCTACATGTTCTTGTTCAATCCCACAGATAGCAGGCACAGCCAAACCAGCACTGGGTGAATGATCAACCACTCTTTTCCCATTTCCCCTCTCTTCACCACATGCACCCTCTCTCTCTTTTTCTTGTTCAGATTTCTTTTTACCTCCACTCCTTCGTAACTCAGGTAATTCTACATCCCTGATAGGCCCAACCAGAACAAACCTAGTTTCTAGATTTTCAGACAAAGTAGAACTTACCTTGGAAGGGGATTTTTGAGACTTTTCAAAGTCAGAAGACCT